TCCGCCCGCGCCCGTGCTGCAGCGCACCTTCCCCCTGTGTCTTGCAGCATTCAGCTTTGGCGCCTCTAACTCGTGAGTAGCGTGGTCTCGTCTGCCGTTGAGCCCGACCCTGACAGCGCCGGACGCGGCTGGGAAGGCCCGACCGCTCTCGCTGGGCTCGGGCGTGCGGCTCCCGTGCTCCCTGACACACAAGTTTGTCCTGGAAGCTTCAGCATGTGTCAGGCTTGGGGGCACCGCGGGGTGTGGAGTGGGAGCCCCTAACAGGCAGCACAGAGGGTGCCTCGTCTCCCCCCGTGACTCCCCTGGCCGGGTCCAGGAGCTGACCCGGCTCTGGCTTCCACAGGTCTGTCCAGGGCTTCGGCGGCTGGAGAAGCTGAGCTGGCGTCCCAGTCCCTTCAGTTCCTTTGCCATTGAATGCGCCCGAGAGAGGAAACAGCGGAGACCAAAACAGAAGCCTGGCCACGCGCTCTGCCCCGCCCCGAGCCCCGAGCTGTTCCCCGCTGTCGGACTGCGGGGTCTGCTTCAGGCCCGAGCTCTGCGGTGTGTTCGGGCCGTGGAGAGGCTCCCGCTCCTGTTCTGGCGGCCCGGGAGGCCCATGGGGACTGTGACCTGGCCTCCGAGAGCCGCTGTGCCCGGGCAGGGCCTGGACAGCATCGCGGAGGGTCAGTGCAGCTCCTGAGCAGTGCCCACCGCCTGGCAGAGGTGACGGTGCAGTGTCAGCTCCACAGCCGCTGTGTGAAGGTGACCTTGGGGACCGCACCTGACCCGCCTGCTCTGACCAGCGTGGGGGACCCCATTGTGCAGACTCCGCTGGCAGGACGGTGCGTGACGCAGCCACCCACACGGCCGTGAGAGCCTGGTTGCAGTTCTATTAAAGCTCTGTGTCTCAGGCCCGCGTGTGTTACCCTCAGGCCTGGAGAGCCTGGAAGTCGCCGACTGGAGAGCAGTGGTGTGGGTTTGCTGTCATCCAGCCCGGGGTGTGGCCACCTTCGGCCTGGGCCGCAAGCGGGAGGCCTGACTAGCTGGATGTGTGGCCTCGGTTTGTCCCAGGGTGGTTCCGTGGCCCAGAGGCTGGGGCACCAGGCGGCTTCCAGTGCCAGGACCCACTGGCACCATCACGGGGAGCTCCTTGTGGCATCCAGATCCCCACCTCCATCCAAGGGTGTTGTCAGCAGGATGCTGGGCTGCACGCTGGGCAAGGGGGCTCAGCACCGCCGCTGGGCTCCGGGGACCCTTCCCGAGCCACTGTCAGCAGTGCCAGAACCTGGAGTTCGCCCCTTGTGCCTGCGGGAGGCATCATCACATGCGCCCTGCTTCACTTTCCGAGAGCTGGGGACTCAGAGGCCAGTGTGTGTCTCTTAGGGGCCTTCAGAAGTGAAGTCTGTCGCCCTGGCTCACCGCTGTCTTGCACGAAGGGACCCCCCCTCAAAAGGTTCGGCTCACCGCGGTCCTAGGTGGGCAGGGGAAGCCCCCAGGTGCTGAGCGCACGGCACCTGTCCAGCCCTCCTCCCTCCTGTCAACCCCGCAGACACCTTTTATAAATAGCAGCCGGCCCAGCCTCATCCCGTGACACATTCTCCCCCGGTTGGTCCCCACCGAGGTGCCGGGACAGCTCTGGAGACTGCGTGTCGGCCACTCTGCAGATAACACTGCTGCTTGCTGACAGCCTGGTCAGAGGCGGCCCGAAGAATATGCGCGCTGGCAACGCAGCCCCTCCGCATTCCTTTCCTGGGCTCAGCCGGTGGTCGGTGGCAGGGGTCAGTTCAGCACCCTGGTCCGAGCCCGCGCTGCCAGGATGTCAGGCTGGGCGGCACCAAGGCCCGACTGGGACCACTCCTGGCCTGGTGCACAGCTGCGGGCGGCAGCGGTTCACTGTGCTCCCGCCTCATGCAGCCGGGGTCGGGGGGAGGGAAAGGGGCAGGAGGGCGCCGACTGGGTCCTGTCATTTCCAGGTGGAAATGCCCCACCTCTGGGCCCGGGGAGGTAACCCAGTGCTTCCGCCGCCTGCCACACAAGCGCAGGGACCCGAGTTTGATCCCAGGTACCAAAAAATAAGTCACACGTCCAATTCTTGATGCTCTTGATGGCCGTGCAGAAGGAAAGGCCACAGGTGGCTTTCTCGGGGACAGGTGGCACCCAGAAGGCCACGCGAGTCCCCTTGACGCGGGTTGAGGTGGCACTGACTGGTGGTGCCCAGCTTTACCTTTGCGGCGCCCCCAGGGGAAGTCTGGGTCAGGTCCCCAGCAGGCGGAGGCCCTGAGCCGCCCAGGCCTGCCCAAACGTGTCATCGCAGGGTCCTGTGGACCTGCTCTCTGCTGCAACACCGGGCCTGACACCTCGTGGCTGGAGGTCGGCGCCCAGCTCGCGGCAGGGGCAACCCTGGCAGAGACCCAACTCTTCTTGTGGGCCACAGCTGTGTCCCCCAGGAGCGACTGAAGGGCGGGAGGCTTTGCTGGAAATCTCAGTTTAAATGTGAGCCCTCGGGGCACCTGCCCCAGACAGGCCTGGAAGCCTCATGAAGCCCCCTGCCTAGCACCGTGCCTGCGCCTAGCGTCTCAGCCCGACACACACTCGAGCACAGAGCAGGAGCAGGGGCTGCGTCTTCCCTCAGGCCTCACCGAGCAGAAAGGCTCCCTGCTCCAGTACACTTGGGAAAGGGCGGCCAGGATCAGGGGTGGTGTGGGGCCTCTGGTGCGCAGCCAGCTCTGGGGGTCCCCTGCTTTCACCCAGACCCTTCTGCGCTGGGTTTCGAGTTACAGTTTCCTCCGTGCCTGCCGTGTACCTGGGTGGCACTGTCGCTCAGTTTTCGCGTGAGCACCGAGGCCAGGCCTGGGGAACTTGCCCACTCGCCCAAGGGAACCAGCGGCTGGCCGCCGCCCACTCTGCCCTCCTCTTCCTGTTAGGCCCTGTTCTTCACCCTGGGGCCCAGAGATTCCTCTGCCCCAAGACATCGGGGCCTAGGTATGCTGGGGACAGTGCGGAGCCACCCACACAGGCGCCAGCCTTGGACCTGGGCCACGGCAGAGACCCGGCTGGTCCACTCCGCCTGATCCCGCAGCCTTGGGCATTGTTTGCTTTGTGACCACTTTGTGACCAGAGAGCACCGGACGCCCAGGTGGGGCTCCGGCCGGCCTGGGAGCAGCTGTCTGTGTGCTTCCTCTGCGTCCCCTGGAGCAGCAGTTGCTACATTGTTCAACCCCCCTCTTATAAATAGAGGTGTCCATGCTGCAGGCCGGCCGGAGATTCTCCGCATTGTTTTTGGTCCGGAACGCCAGCTGCAGAGGAAGGAGGCCCAGGCCGACCCCTCCCCAGCCTGCTCTGACAGCCCCGCCCTCGGTCCCCTTGCTGCCAGGCCTCTCCGCCCAGGACACATGCTCAGACGCTGCCCAGATGGCCTGTCACCTGTCCCCGTGCTCTCAGGTCTCGCCCCCCACGACACTTCTAGGCTACCTGCTCGCAGATGTCCTATCCTGTGGCCAGGTTGTTTCGAGGCACACAGCAGGGCGACATTGTGTCCTTAGTCATTTGATCTGTTTCCCTGCACTGTCCTCAGCATCCTCAGCAGTGCTGGTCAGCCTTGTCTACCCCCAGCGCCTGGACAGGGCAAAAATAAGGATGCTGGCCAGTATGGTGCACACCTGTTTAGGTCCCAGCACCCAGAAGGCTGAGGCAGGAGGATCTCTTCAAGTTCAGGCTAGCCTGGGCTACTAGGGAGACCCTGTCTCAAAGAGTCAGGGATGTTGGTCTGTCTCCCAGCGACTCCCCAGAAAGAAGCCAAGGCTGGCTCAAAAGACAGGCCCCAGTGGTGACAGGGTGTCGGGGCACAGAGCTGCCGGAGAACCCCAGTGTCTGAGCAGAGCAGCAGGCTGGGTAGCGGCTTCCTCCATGACCACTGACCGGAACATGATGGGCTCCAAGGACCAGCGGGGCAGTTGCACATCCCCCAGGGCAGGCCAAGGTCAGGGCCTGGCGGTCACTGGAGTTGGGCTGGTATGGGTGGGAAGTGGTCACCTAACCCAAAGTTGTCCTTCAACCCGTCCTGGCCAGGAAGGTGCAAGGCTGCCCCAGGGAAGGGTTCCTGGTGTCCCCCTCGTCCCTGCAGAAAAGGAGGCCACTCCCGCCCATGCCTGCAGCCCCTGCTGCTCCCCCTGGCTGGGCTGCCCAGTTCTGTCCCTGTTGCAGCTGACTGAAGGCTCTGTGCGCTGACAGCTTGTCACCAGCAAACATTTTCGGGAGCCAGATCCTCAAAGCTTGGGCTCTTTGTTTTTAAGTCACTTTCTTCTGTTTCCGGAGTGCAGCTTGGCCCCAGCAGAGGGAAGGGAAACGCTGCCATTCTGTGACAGGGCTCTCTGCAGGCAGCGCTGGTGACTGTGGCCAGAGCAGTGCTGGCCCTCGCGTCCCTCCCCCACCTACCTACCCCAACTTCTCTTTTGTCATTCGGAGCCACTCACCCCCAGACTAAAGCCAAGTGGCAACCCCTGCTCTGCTCTCAGCACAGACAATGGCACTGGCAGTCAGCATACTGGTCTCAGCCCTCGGGAGGCTGAGACAGGAGGCTCCCAAGTTCAAGCCAAGTTGGGCAACTTAGATCTATCTCCAAAAGCATAAAGGGCTTAGGGATGCAGCTCAGTGCAGACGGCTCTGAGTTCAAACCCCGAACCACAAACAGTGAGTGAATAAATAGGTAGATGCTGTGAGGGTGTGGGGCAGCAGCTTATGGCAGCAAAAGCAACAAAGGACCTTAGCAGGTGTTTCTGTCCCTTTATCTTACTCAGACTACTTAGAGCAGGTAGGACTTGCACTCTCAGTGACCTCGGGCCTCAAGTTGCACTCCAAACCAATCACACAGGAGACTGAGCCACCCTGAAAGAGCCCGCCTCATCCCAGCGAGGCTCTGGTGCGCACCAGACACAGCCATAGCAGGTGGGAGCGCTCTCTACACCGCGGAGTACTATTTGGTCATAAAAAAGCACAGCTTTGTCCCAGCAGGAGGGTGTGTGGGTCCCAGTGTCACCTGTTGACCAAAATAAGCAGCCTCGGCGAGACACACACAACGTTCCTGCCCGTGATGGGGGATCGGGGAATCGGGAGAGCAGAATGCAGGGAGGGAGCGAGCGCCTGCTGCCCTGGGCCTGGCCTTGCCCACCCCGGGCCGCGCGGAGACAGTGATTATTACCCACTGCTCGATCAGGCCCACGTTCTTTCCTGTGTGCGGGGCGGACTGGATTCAAGCGGAAACCCTGCAGCGGCGGTCTGGGGAGGAAAGGAAGTCTCAGGGGAGCGACGCCGCCAACCTCACCAACTGCCACACCGAGATCCGTGCCCCGATGCCCCTGCCTCCTGCGTGACGCGTCAGGGCCCGGGCAGGGAGGCCGCGCTCCAGCCGGGCTTTTCGGGGGTTTGTGTGGATGTTTGTCTCTGCTCTCGAGGGCTCTGCTGCAAATAAATTCTGTTTATAGCGGTATCTTCAGGGGAGGAATCTGAGGAAATAGAGGGACCTGAAGTAAAGACGGAAGACGCCTGAGGTATCCGGTGGTTCTGGAACTTTCTATGGTCACACTGTCAAAAGCGACCTGGAAAACACTTAGAGGAGCCCCGCTGTGGAACCGGAGCCCGATCCTGGGCCAGAACAGAGCCAAGAACCTGCATGTGGCATCCGAGAAGATGAGCCTGAGCTTGTTTTAGAAAAAAACTACTCTGATGGGCCGGGGATTTAGCTCAGTGGTTTCACTGCCTGCCTTGCAACCACAAGGTCCCGAGTTCGATCCCCGCTACCAAAAGAAAAAAAAAAAGAAACTGTTCTGAGGATGCCCGCTCCCAAGGGTTCTCCAGCCCTACGCACAGAGCTCAGACATCGCGGGGAGCCTTGAGGACATTTTCTGGGGCATCTG